TCCCTTATCCCTCGTATCAAACGAGCCCTTAAGTTTTTCATCAGCCTCAAGGTCAAAAGTAAGATTATTATACTATCATCTTTAGGTTTCTCAAAAATCTAAGTGCTTTGAATAGCTTAACCTTCTATGCTAAGGAATCGCTTTTGCATATTTGGAACTGTGACATTTCCCTACACTCTCTGTATTATTTCCTAAATATAAGTAAAAGATAAAGAGAAACTAAAGTATGAGTGTTTGTGGACAGCAGACACCCTACACAAAATAATAAAGTAAACTTCCACTTTAGGAATTAGGACAAATACATAAAGCAAAACCAACTTTAGGAAGGAGAAGATGGTATAATTTGTTGACAAGTAATCTCCTCACAATAATAGAAAGTAAAAGTTCAAAAATTCAACATTTCATCGCTAAGTTTTCTAAGTATTAAACATGGTAAACATTTTATTTCTTTTCTTTTAGTGCAACCGAGTTAAGTTGGACCTTTCAGGCTTTCCTCTATATTTAACTTAACTATGTAGAGAAAGAAAAGTAAAAGTTGATTAAAATTGAATAGACATAACTTCTTTTGTAAAGTTATTTTTGAAACTAAATTAAAGGAAGGGCAGCTGGTAAAGCTTTGGCAGAGGACCTAATTAACTAGCACATAAGTTTGAAAAGGATTTAAAGAAGTTTGCGCACAGAAGTAGATATAGAAATGGACAACCACAATATAATTATTTCATTTTTCCATTTCTTTCTCATAAATAAAATGTGACTTAAGATTTTAAACCCTATGAGTACCAATAATACTACAGTTACTATAATTTTTTTGTCATCGAAATTAATACTAGTATTAAGACTATCCAACTCTCCCATTCCTATAGACAAGAAAGAGGGAGAAATTCAAAAATAGTCAGATTTACCACTGGTCGTTGAAAAATAGCCAAGTTTCAAAAGTCATCGAAATTTAGCCACTTTAAATCTGCGCGAAAACACCGTTCAAAATCCGGAAAATACGCCCGCAAATTTTACGGGAGTTCCAGCATAAGTATGCTTGAACTCCCGTAAATTTTACGGGAGTTCCAGGATAACTATGTTGGAACTCCCGCAAATTTTACGGGAGTTCCAGCAAGTATAATTGTCCAGTATAATATACTGGAGTTTGGAGCACTGGTGCTCCAGTCTCTCGCAAATTTTACAAGAGTTAGCAAAGTATACCGGTCCAGCATAATATGCTGGAGTTCGTACACAAATGCACCAGAACTCCCGTATATTATACTGGACCGGTCCCTGTTGCAACAAAATAGTGGCTATTTTTCATTGACTTGATAAACGCTGGCTATTTTTCATTGACTTGATAAACGCTGGCTATTTTTCATTGACCAGTGTGAAAACTGGCTATACCATGATATTTTAACCAAGAAAGATGGAACTTTCACAAGCAAGGTCATTGCAAAAAAAAAAAAAAAAAAAAAAAAAAAAAAGATGCTTCCGCCGTCTGTGGGGATCGAACCCACGACCACGTGGTTAAAAGCCACGCGCTCTACCACTGAGCTAAGACGGCTTGCTGTTTAAGTTTCGGAGTTAATAACAATCTATTCAAAAATCATAAACTTTGCTTTTGCCATCAGTTAATATTTGCAATATGAGCAGGTACTATAATTCAAGCTGGCTAATCTTTTCGGGTTTAATATATATTATTACTAGTGATTGTTTATAGTATTGTAACAAGAAAAGAAGGTAAGTATAACATTTATAACGATGAAACTATGTGAAAATTCTAGTTGCATCCAGTATTCCATTATTGGTGTCATCTCATAGCATAATTGATGGTTGTATGTATATATTCTCTCTTCTTCTAAGTGAAAACTCTTCTGTCAGTGTAACTGATTATAGGAAATTGTTTATGCGCCAACAAATGGAATTGTATATAATATACTTTTCTTTTTGGTATATTGAAATAAACTAGAAAAACTTAGAGCCCGTTTGGATTAGCTGATTTGAAGTAGCTGATAAGTATTAGGTGTTGAAAAGCACTTTTAAGTGTTGAAACTGATTTAATAAATAAGCAGTTACGCGTTTGTGTACAAGTCTGAAATTGATAAAAAATTGATGCAGTATTTGATAAAAAAGTGGTGATAAGCTCTTTTTCTGTTAAAATGACTTAAATAAACTTAGAACTGTTTACATTTATAAGGGCATAATTTCTTCAAAATTTTAGATTCCAAATCGATTCAAATACAAAATATTCTATTTGTTATTTTATTTTAAATACAATTGTGCTTAGATAAGATAATTTTTATGATAATATAATTTATTTATAATAATCATATAATCATAAATTATAATAATTAATAAATTGACAAAAAAAATTCAGTAAAAAATAAACATAAATAGGACAAAATATTTGAAGAGAAACAATGTCTTCATCACCACAACACTTAGAAAATAATACACCAAAAATTTAATATGTCCTCATTTATTACATACAGTTCAAAAATTAATACACAATCACATAGATACAAATATGCAAAGGAATAGATAATTTGCTTATCTTAAATAGTCAATGAGAATTGCAGACTTAAAGAGGCGCAAAGGGAGAGGGGGTTAGGTTGATAAAATACTTGAGGCAGTGAGTATCGATGTAGGAATTTTATTCTAAAAAGGAATATTTTATGGATAAAATAGTAAAAATCTTGGTCAAACTTAAAGTGCTTATAAGCTAAAAATTCATAAATTAGGGGTAACCAGCTTATGCTTTTGGCTTATTTTTGACTTATAAGCACTTGGCTTATAAGCACTTTTAACTTTATCAAACGCGTAGATAAGCAGAAAAGTGCATATAAGCTAGTTTGACCAACTTATAAGTTTAGCCAATCAGCCTCTTAAAATCTTTCATAAGCCACATGGCTCATATCAGGAGAAGAAACTCCATATCTTTGATTGCATCTTCTCAAATTAGCAAATCTTCTTCATATTTGCGCACCTCGGTTGCAAAATCGGCATTGGTGTGCTTTCCTCCATGCTACTTTACGTGTAGTTTGTTCCTTACCTTATGATTTTCGGTGAATTCCACATTGATATTTATGCGCTTCTTTAACTGGTCTTGGACGATCCTAACTAGCTTTTGTTGGGATATACTATTAACCATGCGGTTTAGACATAGTATTATATTTTATTCTTTATGGAACAATTGTTTATTTAATTTATTCAATTCAATAAAGTACTATTTTAAATTAGATCATTTGTTACATGTGTGTCCTTTTAGTTATGTAGTAGACAATTTAGTGTATGGAGTCTTAGGCTCTTAGCTCATGCACAGAAGATTAAATTGTCGGTTCTCATAATTAATAAACTATGCTCACAATCAAAGATATTGTTGGACAAAATATCTTGATGATTGTAGCACAAGATTATCGTATAATTTGTCTTGATTATGGGAGTAGTTTTACTCTAACTTCTTGTGCTAGTATACTTAGTGTATATTGAACGGACCAAGTAGAGAAAAGATGTTTTTTGTACTGAATATATAAAACATTTTCTCTAATTCATTAAATGAGTTTATAATCCTAATCTTGATATAATTATTATGATCAATGTAATTTGTTTATTGTTTTGATTTATCAAAAGGTACGACTCTATTTAGAGTTAGTGTATGCCTAATAGATTGGACAATAACGAATAACATTTGTGAATAATAATTAGTTGATAGCATCCATGACTCGGTTTTGAGTTTGATGATACCCCTTTATGTAAGCTTATAAGTTTTTCATGTGAAAACCCGGCCGGTGGATTTTGTATCTGTCACATGAAATAGTTTAAGCGGAATTATAAAGGATTTAATTAGTTAATTGAATTAAATTTTCAGTGATTTAATTTAATTAACTGGTATTTGAAATCTTAACATGGGGAGTTAAAATAAGTGTTAATGAATTCTCGAAATTCATATTGAGGAGTTCAATTGCAGTTTTTTTGTGGAATAAATTGCAATTAATTATTGTAAGAATTAATTCATGCTAATTTCGAATTAATACTATAATTTCTATTATTTCTGTGGTCCCTGCTATACCTAGTAAAACCTGAACAGAATTGGGTAAAAAGTAGCTTGGGAGAAAAGTTATCCTTTTGAGTTAGACAGAATCCTACACGTTTTTGAGCCCCTATTGTGGCTTAATTTCGGGTCTATTAAAGGAAGACTAGTTTCACCTAATACCTTATCTTTTAGTTGTATTGTTCTTGCCCACCCAAAAGCAAAATCATCCAAAGGTTTTACCAGGCATATAGCAGAAGACTGCAGCCCTGGATTCTTGCTTTTTGGAGGATTTGTGCAACTATTTCAAGAGGTTAGTGCTTCTAATCATGTTATTATTGCGTTGTCTAGTTTACATGTATTTGATGCCTGGATTGTATGCTTGCTTTAGCTGCGCATGTTCTAACAGCTTTTGGGTTGAGTTAGGTCCAATATTTATTTTTTGTACAATGGTATCGGAGTCAAGCCACCCCAATTGATTGTTTATCCGATATTGGGCCCCTAACTTACATGGATTATCTTATATTGTCCACGTTGCAGATGTTCAATTCATTGTTTACCCTCCTTTATCTTACATGGGTCATCTTGTATTGTCCGCACTCTAAATGTCTAGTCTCGGGCATGCGTGAGTGTTGAGTTAGGTCCAAAGTTCATTTTTTTCGGGACAAATATTTGTTATTGTGTATTCTAAGATCCAACAATCAGTAAAGGGCACTAGCAGGGTAAATGCAAGATTAATTGAAAGTAAAGGCAGCAAAATAGTAGAAGAAAGTTGTAAAGATCTTATATTCTTATTGGTAGTTGTTGATAAGCTTACTAATGTACAAAGCCCTGAGGTCTGTTACAAGGAAAATTGATAATAGTGAAAGCTAATATCATGTTGAGTGTTTGATTTCATTTTCTTTTTGCTCAAGATATTCTGATATTTTTTGAGCAATATGAAAAGATGCAAGTTTTGTTTTTCTTCATCTATATTTTATCTTTGAAGGAGAGCCTTGGCGTAACTGGTAAAGTTTCTGCCGACCAAGAGGTCACGGGTTCGAGCTGTGAAAGCAGCCTCTTGAAGAAATGCTAGGTAAGGCTGCGTATAATAGACCCTTGTGGTCCAGCCCGTCCCCGAATCCCGCATAACTGCCCTTTTATCTATGTTTTATCTTAGAATACTGTAGTTGTATCAGCAAGGCTGCTGATTAAATAAATAAATAAGATGATTGAAAATGAATCAGCATAGACTTGAAATCCAAAAATGTGTTACTTATAAACTTTGCCTCTTGATTTACTACTTACAAACTTGCTTCATACACTTTCAACTCTACTTAGACTGCACAATAATTATAAGAACAACAATCTTTCTCAAAATGACTTTCTTACTCTATCAAACAATCAAACTGAAATGGCTATTCGTAATAAATCCATTGTAATCTCGTCAATGAGTCCATTGAGCAAATGCTTCTCCACATCCTTTATAACATCATCTTTTTCAAAAAAAGCAAACATTATTTGTTCACTCCAGCCAAAGTCCCACATGGAGTTCACATCTGGGATTCTGTTATGCATATCTTGTCCGATCATGTTATGTAGGTAGTCCGCTGCATCACATTCATCGCTCATATTCCCATCGCCACCATAGAACTTTAATGTGTCAAAATCTTTGCAGAGTTGCTTGATAAGATCATCCAAAGACCTTGTCTTTACATATCCGATGGACATTGTTGCATAAGGATGTAATGCTAGCTCTTGTCTTCTCGCTTTCCTTTTCATTATCTCATAACCGCAGTCTAGCATAAGTTTAACGTCTTCCCCTTGGTTATTTTGATCGCTGGCATGGAGAATGCTGATCGGTATATTGAGCTTGAAGAGTGCCTCGGCTGTGTTTAGGAATTGTTGACTTTTAATTACTGACTCCTTGAAGTGCTTTTCAGGTTCTGTCAATGGTTCTTGTGACACTAACCGGAGAGTTGTTTCTTGATCGTTTCTAACAAGTTTGGAGATTCCTGTGCCGCCTCCTTCTGCAATATTAGAGGGTGAGGAACTTCATCTATAATGTTTATCTTATTTACATGTAAATGAATGGAATAAGATTTTTATATCAGTACCTGTCAATTTGGCAGAAAAACTTCTATTTTTTTCATCATTGAAAAGCTTACTGTTCTGTGAGACTTCTTGATGAATCCCTGCAACATTAACTATGAGAACCAGCTTACAGTATCTTAGCTATATATCATCTAATAAGAGCAACCTGGTGCACTAAGCTCCCGCTATGCACGGGTCCGGGGAAGGGTCGGACCACAAGAGTCTATTTTACGCAGCCTTACCCTACATTTTTGCAAGAGGTTGTTTCCACGGCTCGTGCTTTTCATCTAATGTACTATCTTATTTTGCAAGACCTCAAAACTTGAAGAAGGTTGAAGAGTAAGAATAATTTGTCTTAGAAACATCCGTTTTGATGCTGGTGATATTTGGTTATAGTTGGTTGGAGTTTGAAAAGCACTAATCATTGGGGTAAAGGGATAATAGGACTGCTATCTGTAATTGTAAGGTGATAATACTGGTTCAAGGCGACCAAAGTGTTAAAACTAAGAATATCTGACTACTCTTCTTCTGAAATCAAACTAATTGAAATAAATACTCATGGTCTGACATACCATTAAGTTGGTCGATAGCTTCTGATATCTTTGGCATATCTTCTCCATGATTCTGGTCCAGGGATATTTCAAGTACTTCCAGTGTTTTATCTTGATGCTGCAGGAATATAAAAAAGCATGTTATGAAGATATTGCACATGTTCGACTAGTTTCTAGACATAAAATTACTCTGAATCATTAAAAACTTATCGAGCTCACAAATTAGATCGAATTTTCTTCTCACGGATGAACTTACATTTTCATTTGAAATCACAGTTTCTGAACCTATCAGGTAGTCACATTCCTTTTCCATAATTGCGTTGCAGGAGGTACTGTTTTCTGTTTCACTATGTAGTTCTGTTTGCAAATTGAGTATCTCCATGCTCACATCTAGCTCGTCGGATCTTCTGTTGTCCACATTTGCTTCTCTTGACAAGCTTTCAGTCAACTGTTCTTCTCCACTGTAGCAGCTTTTGTCATCTTTCTGCAGTTTCATGCCTTGCAAAGTTGCGGACAACTCCTCTATTTTTGGAGAGGTCTCATTTCTATGAATTTCGGTATGGCATCCCTTCCTTTCTGTAAGTAGCAGATTGATTGGCTTCTCTTGCTTAGATGATTGAGTGATAATGGTTAGCTTCTCTTCTCTAGATGATACTTCATTTGACAATGCATTTTGATCGGCCTTTTTGTTCTTGCTGCTTTGCATGATCACTATAGAGGTAGAAGAGCTCCGATTCTTGGCAAGAGCAACTTGCTTTATACCATAAGAAAAATCTTTTGAAGGTGTTCCATTTTTGGACTTTGTAGAATTTTTTGTACCGAGTGTGGCTTGGTTCATAGAAGACTGCTTCTTCTTTAAACTTGCTGAACGATTCCTTGGTTTTGGTAAAGTTATGGTTTCCACTTGATTTGCTTTGTGTTTTCTTGCCTGCACAGTTTTATTTGAGAGCAATTTCTCCTTCTTACCTGCCTGATGCTTCTCATCTTGTCCTTCAGATTTTTTAAGATATCTGTCTGTCTCTTTCTTTTCTGCCCAAATTTTATCCACTTTGCAATCAGTAAGTTCTTGTAACACAATATCGATTGGAGGCACCCTCGATGTTTGTGGCATTTTTGGCTGTGAGTCACTCTTCAGGATAGGCTCCTTGATTTCAACTGTTTTTGTGATTTTCTCCTTAACACTTGTCTGATTTTGTTCTTTCTGTTTCTGCTGGAAGTTAACTTGATCTCCTGGTACTTGATTTACTTGGATGTTTTTACTTTGTTGCTTATCCATCATGTTGTTTGTCATTGGCAAGCCCGAGGACAACGAACCTGTATCTTTGTTAACCGCTATACTCCGCTCCTCCTGTTGTTTAACTCTACCAGAAGAAACCATGTCATTGCTCCTGCTTGGAGATGCACGGACATATTCAGCTTTAAGCGCGAATTTTGCCTCCTGAACTGGTAGCATGTTACTTCTTTGTATCATGTTTTTGTCAACACTGAGAGATGATCTATTCTCAGCGTCCGGAGTGCCAATAGGACCTGCAGTTTTCTTCAAAACTGGCTCTTGCTTCTTTTTGGAATCCGACCCTTTCCTCGATGCCTTGTTATCTTCTTTTGCTGGGAGTTCATCCAGTCCCATTAGTTTCGCAATGACATTTGAAATTCTCCCTTTCTCTGATCCAGCTTTCGTTCCACTTGACTGGTTCTTCTGGTCCAGATTTTTGAAGTCCGGGGCACAACTAGCTGACCTTATATGGGCCACCAATTTCTTAGGGCCGAGAGGTTGCTTTTCGTGCAGTTTAGGAGTTTCATCGGGGTATGTTAGGGCCATAAGCCGCTGTTTGATGTCATTTTTTGTTGTCTCTTTGGTGATATATGAGTTTTTAGAGGGCTTATCAAATGAAAATCTTGGCCGCTCTACTTGCTTCTGATCGCCTATCTTGACAATGCTGTTGTCGCCTTCCTCATCCTCATCGAGCAATGTAATCCGGCTTTTGCTTTGTGGCTTGATCATATGATCCGAAGCTTCCTGTAGGTTCACAAGCATTCTCAGGGACTCTTCCAAATCCATTGCTCCTTTCAACAGTTCCGTCCCAACTTCAACTGAATTCTTATCAAAATTAAGGCCATTAGAACAAGCTCTTAGAATCTGGTTTAGTTTTTGTATCCCTTTAGATACTTCATTGATATGAACATGTGAGACGGAAGGGAACTGACTATTCGGAGCTTGATACTTATCGATGCTGGTTCTCCTTTCCATCTTACTTATGTCCATTGATCTCTGACCAAATTGATGGAGAAATGTTAGCACAGGATTTCTACTTGAAGAATCCATCTTAGTAAACTTTCCTCCATTTTCAATAGCAAAGGCGAGTGCCATTGAAAGATCTCCCACTTTCTCAGAGTTTTGTACTCTTCCAGTAGCATAGGGAACAATCTGTCCTGAAGATTCTTCAATCCGAAATGATCGGTTGCTGGTGCTAGACCTACTACCTAAGTTCCCTACTTTTGAATTAACCTGCAAATTGTAACATGTAAGCTGAATAGAACTTGTTGTTACAAGAAATTCTCAAGGTGTCCTGATATTGTCAAGTGAACTTACGGATTCTAGAGTTTTTGTTTGTCGAGATCCTTTGTAAATTTGTCCCGGATTAGCATGACCATCTGTCAGTTCAGACATATCGCTAGTTTAGTTTGACACTATCATCTGTAACATATGCTTTTGCAAACTTTACAGTTGAGGAGAGTTGGAACCACGATTTCAAGTTCATGAGTTCGAGGTTCGGGACTCTAATCGTTTTAAGTTACTGGGTTGTAAATTAATAATTTTTACATATTCAATAGGATATTTAAGAAAAATATAAGGTTTGAACCAAAACTAATGGGTTCGGCCGAACCCGCTCCCGGCACTCTAGCTCCGCCCCTGTGACTATGTGGAACTTCTAATATCTTACTATGTGAAACCTGCAGATAGATATATTTCACCCATGTGGAAACAAATGAATTCCTGATTGATGGTAAACAATATTTTGGTGAATTGTACATATACTCAAAGTATGTTTTCTCTAAACTTTTATAGTATAAGTTATGTGCTTCTCTTAATTTACTCTTGCATCTTGTGCTTCTAGTTCTTGAAAGTAATAACTATTAAATTCGTATCAACAGGCAAAAGAGTGTGCAAATCATGAAATAGCGTCAACGAATCAGTTTTTGAAAAAAGAAAAGAAAATAAAACCAGAAGTTCAATGATGTATGTATAATCATTTGATAAATTAGCAATTTGTTTGTTATATATTGCAACATTGCAAAAAAACTCTATTTGTAGCTCTCTGATCTGAACACTGTCTTTGAACTATGTATTTATCCCCATGCATAATTCAATTGTTAAAATTTTAAGATATAATATAGAGAAGATCATGTATTAGCTTTTGATTTATTTACCTCTGGACATGGAATGTGAATAGCTTGAATTTTGAGCAGCAGCCACCCTTTCTTTACGAAGCCTAAGATCATGCAGCAACTTCTGCGCGAAATCCGACTTAGTTGACATTTTTGCTGTCTTACTTCACTCTGAATGTGGAACAGAGTTTTTGGACTAAACCTCCATAAGTGAACTGCAAAATCAATAAAAGCAAATAAATGTAAAAAGAAGAATATTGTTAGATTGTGTTGCGGGTCAATTTCTCTAGTAGATTGGTAAGGTATAGGAATGTAATGTGAAGTTGTTATGTCATTTTGGTGAGAAGGCTTTTTCAGCGTTGGGTAAGGTGGAAAGTTGGGAAAAAAGCAATAATATTTGAGGTTGAAAAAAAAAATTGTTAATCACACACCACTTGAGAAGATTGACGTGAAAGTTAGCTCTCTCACTCACTGTTTTTCTCTATCAAAAACACTGTGGTTGCTTAGCTTTCATTCTAATCCAGGCAATGTATTGTATGGGCACCAAATAGCTTCAGACAAAAGATTTCTTTATGAACAATGAACAATCTCCTTTCTGGAGAGGGCAGCCCGATGTACTAAACTCCCGATATGCGCGGGGTCCGGCAAACGGTCGGACCACAACGGTCTATTGTACGTAGTTTTACTCTGCATTTCTGCAAAAGGCTGTTTCCACGGCTCGAACGCGTGACCTCCTGGTCACATTTACCTCTCAGGAGAATTTAAAAAAAATTTAAAAAATTACTCACGCTAAATTTTTACACCAAAATCCAAATCGATATATATATATATATATATATATATATATATATATATATATATCACTAACCATAGTTAATTAGTATGTATTCTCACATCAATTCATTGTTGATAAACTACTATAATCTGGTGTAAATAATGGATGTGAGTAAGTTTTTTTTCCGCTTTTCGTTCTATTATCTGCTTTCGTTAGCTTAAAGGTGGTCTCTAGCATGGGCGTAACATGATTTTGGCATGTTACATTAGCTAGAAGAATAATCTGGCTCTTTTTGTGCTTTTCAACAGCTGAAATGTTGGAGAATTTGCAGCTTTCATTTGGGGTATGGGTTGGCTACCTTTTACTAAAGCTACTTGAGTTATGCTGGGATGGGAGATGATTTAAATACAAATATTCAAGTGAGAGATGATAAAATTGCATTTAACAGTTAATGTATCAGAGGCGGATCTAGGATTTAAACACTATGGGTTCAATCTTTAATGTCTTTAGCATTGAACCCATAGTATATTTAAAGTTATGGGTTCATATCTACTATTTTTCGTAATTTTAATAGATTTTTACATATAAATTTATTATGCTCCGTGTTGAAAGTACTGAATTCAGTTGAACCCGGCACTCGCTTGCTGCATCCGCCCCTGAATGTATGTTCCTTTTTAGAAGGTTTATGAACCTAAATATTTTTTTTCTCTCTCAATTTATTTAGTAGTTCTTTCACTAGCACTATCACCAACTACCTCTATCACTAGTTTTCGTCGCACAACTATCACCTTTACTGACAGCTATTTATATCAGTTAATGAAGAAGCCCAATGCAAATAAAAAATGCATGTTGGATTTTTGAAACAGTTCATATCATTTTAATAATAATAAGTTTGATATATTTTACGGAGAAGGTCTACGGGTCGAGTCCGTGCTCAATCAGCACAATCACCATTGCCAACTTCCTCTATACAAACCACAGCCACCACCTGACACCACCTAATTCTTGTCATCATAGTTAGCTGCTCCACTAGCTTTTAAAGTATACTTCATTTAAGAATCAATATATATATTACCAAGTAAATTTATATGCTGTCTAAAATATTTATGGATATACTATTTATTGATAATTTATTCGAATTCTATATAAATTAGATTTTAAATAGAGATTTATCAATATTCAAAATGCATAAAATCAATCAACTGAAGTTATTTAGTATTCAGATCTAGAGATCGAGGTACTATCA